CACAAGGGTGAAGAGGGGTGAGAACGCCAGCGTGGAGTGTGGAGGGTTCTCATGAAAGCCGCTCAAAAGGGCACACCACACTAGATTTAAATAAACATGGAAAAAATTGTGATGGTGAAGGCGTGATACGAGAGTATAAGAGGTGAAGGGTCGATGAAAGGAGTTATAGAACAAATGTTTAGCACACATTTGGTCAAAGGATCGGCTTCAATTGTCTTTTTGACGAGTTATAGTATGATACTAAGAATGGCAAAACTCACTGACGATACCGGCGAAGCGTCTGGGAATGTACCACGTCCATGGTCTGACTGGAAAATTATCATGCATACAATGGACTCCGGACTGGGTGCGGTCCTACCAACATGACCAAGTTGCGAAAACAAGGTCACACAACTTCAATAAAACATTTTATTTGTGGCCATTTACTTTTGACTGCGTAAAAAGCAAGACACCCCAAATTACGTTGTGAGAAAGTACATAACTTCTCGATGCCTCTAATATGTACCTGGATGCATTTGAGCAGCAGGTCTAAGTGGCGCTCGTGTCGACCTGTCGTGTAAATATCCATATCCATGTAGCGCGGGATTGAAAGTAAGTTGGCGGCACGATGAGCATTTTCAGCATACCTGACCAAGAGAGCCGGCAACGAAGGAACGAATGCTTCAGTGAGCCGGATGCGCTCTTCAGCTAATGCCTTGGCCTCTCGAGCAGACAACTTGCTAGAACCCGTCCCAATCGCGGCGCCGGCCCCAGTAGTTTGTTGTCCGGCCTGTCCACCAGCACCAAGTGCACCCAGGTCGCCGCCACCTTTAGATCCAGGACCTCCAGGCCCGCCTCCAGCTGCGCCACTTGAAATGATTCCAGTACTGTGATGACCACCACTCTTGTATTTTGTATGAATACATAAGCAAATAAAGCATAATGTAATAAACCATGAGTCTCTCACCAGAAGACATTTTTATGTACAAAGTGAAATTATTAGTATCCAAAAAGGGTGTAGCTTTGGCAATGATAG